AGACAGACAGACAGACAGACAGAGGCTCATAGAATCGGTTAGACAACAAAACCCGAAAGCCCTACCAAACCTTGCAAAAACCCTTGCAGGACCCGACCGTTAACAACCCAAAGCGCTGCGAAGCCCTAATGGACTCAACGCTTCACGCCAACACCCCTATACAGCGCCACCCTGGGCCCCCAATGGAAGTCGACAAAGGCCTAAACCCTAACTTCTAAATCCCTAAGCCTAAACCCCCTAAAGCCTAAACCCTAAACCCTAATTCCTAAATCCCTATGCCTGAACCCTACTTGGAGCCGTGCCTGCACTCCGGGCTGATCGCCTGCCCGCTTGCAAGCATCGTGCCTCTCCAGCAAGGGAGCGAACTCTTCCTCCAGGGCGGCAGTCCTTTAAGGTGCTGCTTAACGTTTGGTAGTGTTTTATGGTTAGGTTTTACAGGATTTTAAAGGGTCTCCAAAGGTGTGAAAAGGTTTATATGGGTGGCTATGAATTATATACATGGGCATTTGGAAGGAGTTTATAGTGTTGATAAGGGTTTGGAAAGGTTGCTATAAGAAGATTACAGGTGTTGCAGGGCTTCGGGGTCCTCACATGTTGTCTGAAGGGTTTAGGGGTTTCCGGTTTTCGGTGATGTTAAGGAGCTCGGGTTTGGCGTATTTAGGACTTCGGGTCTTCGAGGACTGCAGCGGGGCTTAAAAAGTGTCAGCCTGCGGGGGTGGCACCGCAGGAATCCGGTAAAACCCGACTTTCAACCCCCAAGGCTGCTAGGCACTAACCTAAGCCAAATCCCATAGCTGGAAACTGCCTGAACCTGCAGCCGTGCGCACTTCGAGCAGCAGACCTTACAACCCTGCAGCCCCGAAGCTCTACCCCCAGACCCTGGTCACTACAACCCTACAGCCATAAACCCGGCGCCACCAGGTCCTACGGTTAGAACATGTAGGGTCGTTGATGGTTCTTCGTTGCCTGGAAGAACCCTTATAAAAAAAAAAAAACCTTAAAGGACCCTCTCTTCGAAACCTCCCAGGGCCCTAAAGTCTGAACCCTAAACCCTAAACCCTAAACCCTATAAAGACCTTACCTCAAAAATCTGAAGTCACAGGCCGCACCTCGCAAGGCAGAAGCGCCACACCGCAGACCTCACCCGCACGACAGGGTTTAGGGTTTAGGGTTTAGGGTTTAGGGTTTAGGGTTTAGGGTTTAGGGTTTAGGGTTTAGGGGTTTAGGGTTTAGGGTTTAGACCTCAGGGCTGGGAAACATGATCATGCAAGCAGATGGGAGTTTCAGAAGACAAGGGGTCCTTATTTTGGGGTCCTTATAGTAAGGATCCTACTAAATAGGGTACTATATGATTTGTCGGTTTCTTGTCATCTGGTGTTCGGATGCAGCGGCAATAGGAATTAGTCGTCGTCGTCGTTGTCGTTGTCGTCGTCGTTGTGGTAGTCGTAGTTGCAGCAGTAGTCTTGGTGGTGGTGGTGGTGGTAGTAGTAGAAAACCCTACACCATGAACCCTAAACCCTAAACCCTAAACCCTAGAACCCCAAACCCCAAACCCTAAGCCCTAAAACCCTAAACCATGAATCCTAAAACCGTAAACCATGAACCCTAGATCCGCAAAATGCGCATCGAAGCTTTCAAAGGGCTCCAAGGGTGGGATGAAGGTAGGTGGGGTAATCCCAAAATAAGAGTACTTGCGGGCTAATGATGTAAATCCTGCATTACCTTAAGGACCCTAAACTATGGGAGTTATGGTATATTCCTTATTCTGGGTAATGCAGGGTTTATGTCATCAACCGTATTATAAGGGGATCCTTGGTCCTACCTACCTTCATCCTACCTTTTGAAAACCTCCCAAGCTTGGGTTTAGGGTTTAGGGTTTAGGGTTTAGGGTTTAGGGTCTACACGCGTCTAAGGAACTGGCCGTGGCAGTCGCACTCCGTGATCAGGTGAGTGACATAAACCAGCAAAGTCCTTGAATCAGATAAAATGATGCAGCCGCTCCAGAACGTTCAAACCGGATTGAACGCTCATTTATATACTTTACAAAATCCTGAACCCGAGACCTCTAAAGACCTAGACCCGAAACCTGTTGATTCTAAAAACACCGGACAACGCCCCCTAGATCCTTGTCGGAATCCTTATAATAAGCCCGATAAACCCTTGTAACTATTTGATGATTGAACCTTAAACCGTAAACCCCGAAACCCAAAACCAGACCCCCGGGAAGATCCAAAAAGTAGATCCGCTAATTTGGGACCCTAACGGTCTGGGAAACCACGTCGTCCCTAGGAATAAAGGCCTGATTCTGTATCATCTGCCCGAGGACTTCGGGAAGCGAATGGAGGAGCCGGGAACCCAGCGCAGGTCTAGGATTTAGGGCTTCGGGGTTCAGAGTTAAGGATCTAAGGTTTACGATCTAGGGTCTAGGGTTTAGGGCAGGGTGTAATGTTTAGGGTTTGAGTGTAGGGTTTAGGGCCAGCCAAGGTCCATGAACGCGATCTGCGCCAGCTTCGTTCAGTTCTATTTTAGGTGATATAGGGGCCTGTATAATTGCCCAAATTGTTCCTTGAGATTCCTTATTTACAGCAGATATAGCATATATGCTACACCAAAACCCAGGGCCACTTCGCATAATTGCTGCACTTATGTGGGCATTTAGAGTTTAGGGCCTAGGGTTTAAGTGTTTAGTAGGCTTTTAAGTTTTAGTTTGTGTTTTTTTTGAACACTTCCTTGATTTGGGTGCTTTTTGTTGCGGGTGGGTTGGTTAACGCTTTTTTTCAGTTTTAGGGTTTGGCGTTTAGGCTTTTGGGGTCTAGGTTTTATATAGGTTGCAAGTTTTCAGAGTTTTCCATCTAGGTCGTGGGGCTTAGGCTGAACCTGAAATGGTCCTTGGTTTAGGGCCATGGGAATACCATATCACGGTCAAGGCCATCCCGCTGGTGGACACGCAGCCGAAGGCTAAGGCCAAACACACGCCGGTTCCGGAACCCTAAACCCTAAACCCTAAACCCTAAACCCTAAACCTGTTAGGGTTTAGGGTTTAGGGTTTAGGGCTTATAGGGTTTAGGGCCCTAAACCAAAAACCAGAACCCTAAACCCTAAACCCTAAACACTAAGAAACCCTAAACCCGAAACTGCCCTAATTGGTTTAGGGCCCTAACATTAAAACCCCCAAGTTTGGGGTTTTACAGGTCTAGGGCTTTGCGTAGGGTTGAAGGCTTTGGAGTGTAAACAAATCCCAGCAAAGAAACCTTGAAGGAACCCTTGGGAGAAACTTTGCACCAGCTCTCCACACCCCAAGCCCCAAACATCAAGCCACCCGAGTTAGGGTTTAGGGTTTAGGGTTTAGGGTTTAGGGTTTAGGGTTTAGGGTTTAGGGTTGAATTAAAGGAAACTACAGGTGGGGAGTTTAGGGTATATAGGGCTTCTAGAAGGCTTCCACAAGGTATATAGACCTTCTATAAGGCTCCTATAGCGGTAACTACCCACCTGAAGATGTCCTATAATAATACAAAATCGCTTCCACACATCAGCCTCCTACCCTAAACCTCAAACTTCTGCAGCTTCGACACTTCAGCATCCAAGGGCGGCAGCCCCAAAAACTCTACCAAGCGCGGCAGCTCACCTCATCCGACCGACATCGAAGCCCCGATTGCTTCTAGCTGGTTTAGGGTTTAGGGTTTAGGGTTAGGGGCTGCCGTTCAGAAGACTTCTATGGGGTTCTATAGAGCCTGACAGAAGCCAGGGATGTGCAGGGGGCAAGCTTCTGACAGGAGTTTTGTTTCCCCTAAACCCTAAACCCTAAACCCTAAACCCTAAACCCTAAACCCTAAACCCTAAACCCTAAACCCTAACCCCTAAACCCTGAACCCCTAAACCGTGAACGTTTTGCTTCAGAACTTCTCATGCTGTCAGTTGTGGTCAAAGCGAGCGTCGACAAGGAGAGTTGGGCTTTAAACCCTAAACCCGCAACCCCAAATCCTAGACCCTATATTACTGGAAACTCCAGGTGGGGAGCTTAGGGTATTTAGGGCTTCTATAAGGCTTCCATAAGGTATATAGACTGTCTATAGTATAGGGCTCCTATAATGGTAACTACCCACCAGAAAATGTCCTAGACTATAATCCCTAAAAGGGATCTTCGTATAAGCATAGAGGGACTCTCAGGGGGCAATATTAAGAGGTTGCCCCTTTAAAGCCGCAGAAATTTTGGCATATAAGATCCCCTTAAGGCATCAAGGAAAAATAGAATAGATCCCGAGGGCCTACCCAGATTTCTAACTAATTATGCCGACCCCTGTAGCAAAAATATCCCAAGGGCCTAGCCAGATTACTAAACCCTAAACCCTAAACCCTAAACCCTAAACCCTAAACCCCAAACCCTAATTATGCGCTCGGCTCTTAAACTTGGCTTGGGAGCCGTAGGGCTAAGTGCTTGCGACAGATGGAGCACAGGGTTTAGGGTTTAGGGTTTAGGGTTTAGGGTGTAGGGTTTAGGGTTTAGGGTTTAGTCTGAACTGGTTGTACTGCAAAAGCATTGAAGCTGCACCGAACAAACCCTAAACCGTAAACGGAAGGTGAACAACCTGCGAGTAAAGTATTTAGGGTTTGAAGACTCCGAAGAGGCTTCACATCTACTGTTTGTGGCAGAGCTTTGTTGTGGGAGAACCGTGCTAACTAGCTGCTAGTGATTCTGACTCATGAACCTCTGATACTGTTGCAACCTGCTTCCTTTCAGGGCTCTATAATAGGATTCCGTTACAAGGGGTACCATAGCGCTCCAAAACAAGGTCCCATTTTAGGCTTCTCTTCTTAGCATGCCTTTCAAGCTTCCTTTTATGGGCCCCTTTAGTTAAAGGAAACCACAGGTGGGGAGTTTAGGGTATATAGGGCTTCTATAAGGCTTCTATAGGGTATATAGACTGTCTATAAGGTTCCTATAACGCTAGCTACCCACCTGAAAATGCCCTCGACATTAGGGTTCCCATAAGGTTCCTTAAAACTCCTTTTCGGTTCCTGACAGACTTCCTTGTTCGGGGGCGCCTCTAAGGGCTCCTTCCTTTGAGGGGATTCCTGTCAGTCTCCCTTGAAAGGTTCCCTTCAACCTGCTCACGGTTACGATGGTATCCGAAAGCAAACCCCAAACCCTAAACCCTAACCCTAAACCCTAAACATGTCCTTATTGGGTTTTAGTACCCAAAGAAGCCCGAAACCCGAAACCCAAACTATGACGAAGTTTGTCGGGTTCCCTTTAAAGGGCTCCTTTTAGCCGGTTCCTTTAAGGGCCCTAAACTCCAAACCCTAAACCCCTGAACCCTAAACCCCTAACTCCTAAACCCTAAACCCCTAAACCCTCAACCCCTCAAACCGTAAACCCTAAACCCCTAAACCCTCTCTTTACAGGTTCCCTTGAAAGGGGCCTTCGAGATTCGAGTCGAGATCCTCGAAGCAGACGACGAGCAGCTGCGGCAGGTCCAGGCACTTGGCGTACTCCACGTAGTAGTCCTTATGGGGTGCTAGGGCTGTAGGGTTTTATGGTTTTAGGGTTTAGGTTTAGGGTTTTTGGGTTCGAGGGCTGTAGGGTTTTAGGGTTTCGGGTTCAGGGCTGTAGGGTTTTGGGTTTGAGGGTTTAGGGTTCAGGGTTTAGGTTGAGGGTTTTTAGGGTTTAGGGTTTAGGGTTTAGGGTTTAGGGTTTATGCCAAGCTGGGGATCGGGCTCTCGGGCTTAAGGGGATGAGGGTTTAGGGTTCAGGGTTTAGGGTTTAGGGTTTAGGGGTTTAGGTTTAGGGTTAAGGGGTTTACAGGGGTTTCAGGTTTAGGGTTCATGTTTTAGGGTTTAGGGGACCGGGTTTAATCTCTTGATTTGCTGGGGAGGGAGCGCACGGGCGAAAAGAAGAGCGAAGCGTCAGGAAAGTGTGGGAGTTTCGGATAGGGTTGAAGGTATTGGAAGTGTACGGCAGCTATAAGCTTGTGGGCGCAAAGGCTCTTATATGGGTGGTTGTCAAAATTAGGGTCCCTTTTTGGGTCCTTATTATAATACGGCACCTATTATTTAGGGTACCCCAAAAGGGACCATAATTTTGACAACTACCCATATGGAATTCCAGTGCAACACTCAAAAGTAAGAACTCCTGGAACCCAAACCCTACACCTTAAACTGCGCCTTACAACTGGAATCATAGGTTTTTTTTTTTTTGGGGGGGGGGTCCTGATTATCATTATACTGCCATGGATCCCCAAACCCTATTCTAATTACTAAGGGCCGGCTAAGCCGAAATATCTCTTACGAAACCCTGCTGCAACCCGAAAGCCACAATATCTCTTACGAAACTCTACTACAACCCGAAACCCGAAACCCTAAACCTTGAACCCCAAACCGTAAACCCTAAAAGCCTTAATCCATAAGCCTACTAAGCCCGGACAAGGCCCTAAACCCTAAACCCTAAACCCTAAACCCAAAGCCCAGGGCCCAGCCTCTCAAATTTGGAACCCTAGATCCAGCTACTTAACTTGCTTCCCCAAAAAGCCAGGACAATAAAAAGTTAAACTCTCGGAGTACTAGGAAATTATAAGAACCAAAACAATTTAAAGGTCGGGTTTTGGAGAACTAAGTTCAAGAAGCTAAGGAGGACCCCAAAACGCGGAACTCTACAGCACCCTTTAAAGGGAGACCCTCTTATAGAACCTTGCAGCACCCTCCTAAACCCTAAACCCTAAACCCTAAACCCTAAACCTTAAATCCTAAACCCTAAACCCTAAACCCTAAACCCTGTAGCACCCTTTAAGGGGGACCCTGTTGTAGAAATCTATTTCACCCTCTTAACCACTCGGAAGCCTAGAAGTCCCAGACGCCAGAACTCAGACGCGAACCGCTAAACTGGTAGGGGTGTAGGGTTTAGGGTTTAGGGTTTAGGGTTTAGGGTTTAGGGTTTAGGGGTTTTGGGTTTAGGTTTTAGGGTTTAGGGGTTTTGGGTTCAGGGTTTCTTGGCTGACTTCTGAACCCCTCCTAAAATTTGCACGTTTAGTTTCCTCATTGTATTACGTAGAGAAACCCAAAAAGTTAAAGTCCTGAGAGCCAACCAGAAGAACACCAAAGTTTAACCTGCTACTAACGCTTCCGCGAAGCATCAAGCCCATAAGCCAAGACACTCCAAAACCTCCTAGGGTTTAGGGTTTAGAGGGTTTAAAGGTTTAGGGTTTAGGGTTAGGGGGGTTTTAGGTCCCCCAAAACTAGTACGGCACCCGGAAAATTAAAAAGGACCCTAAACGGGACCCTCATTGAGAGAAATACCATCCTAAGGCAGCAGCCGAATAGGATCCTTGGTATATGTGAAGTTATGCTTACGTACTGAGTTTTGGCGTCTCCGGGAAGGCCGCAACTAAACCTCGGTTTGGGGTTTAGGGTTTAGGGTTTAGGGTTTATTAGTGGTGTCGGTCTCGAAACACTAAGCTTTACACCCTGAACTGAAACCTAAACCCTCAACCCGAAAGACCGGAACCGTATACCCTACACCTAAACCCTGACCCCCGCAACCTAAACCCTCGAAAACCCTCGACCCTCAATTCCCCACCTTTTCATGAAGCCCTACAACCTGAACCCTAAAGCCTACAGCTTTCCGACTCTAAGTCCTGAGCCCTATCATCCAAACCTGCGGCCCTAAACCGTAAAACCCTAAACCCTAAACCGTTTGGGTTTAGGGTTTAGGGTTTAGGGTCAATAGTGCCCTAAGTGCCCTAGTGCTCATGCCTGAACCTTTCGTCTAAAGCAATATCCAACACTCGTCAGCCAAACTTAGCGCCCAACCAACCCTAAACCCTAAACCCGAAACCAGGACGCAGGCGGCCCTGAAAAGCAACTCGGTGTAGGGTTTAGGGTTTAGGCTGTAATTCTACTGGACTTGGTAAGTATTGGTATGTTTGCAAAAACGTTAATTTCGGCTGTTTCTTAGCGACTATAATAACCAAAAAATTGCATGTGGGGGTGGTTCCGAAAAAGGGGATCCTAAGATGGTAACCTAAATAGTGGGATCCTTATTATAAGGACCCCGAAATAAAGGTAGCCCTCATCTTCGGAAGCTCCCATATGCTTGGGGAGAATGCTTCCTCATTGGATTGGGGCTTATAATAACGATCCAACTATTTAGGGTACTATATTAGGGTCCCCTATTTTCGGAAACCCCCTATGCCCTAAACCCTAAACCCTATGACCACTATAAAGACTTAACCCTAAACCCCAAAACCCATGTGGTTTCCAAGGACCCCCAAGTTAAACCGTCCGAAGAGCCCAAAGCGAAGCTCCGAAGCGCATGCCTTCGGCAAAGTAATCCTGCGGAGCGCCAGCTTCCAGTAGCTTTACCAGGGGTTAGGGTGTAGGGCTTATAGGGTTTAGGGTTTAGCTTTTCAAACCCCATGGGTCGTGTTAAGGGTTCGTTGAAGAACGGGTCCTTTACACAGGATTTGTATAATATGAGTTAGTCTTATGGTTTGTGTGAGTATTCCCCATATGAATCCTTAGGACTCCTTGGGGAGGTGCCTTGGGTTTCGGGTTTCTTTGTCAGCAGTCTTTAACGTTGTTGGGCACGGAAAGGGTCATACAAGCATTCTGTCAGGTTACGAGTTTTTCGAGAGAGTTGTTCAAGAGCTTTCTGTTGTTTGATTCAGAGTCATTTGTTTTAAACACCCGTTTGAAGTAGAGCCCTTGGGACTCAACTTCGTTGTAACATCTTGACTCAAAGGGGCCGATCTTGTGGAAAGGCAGTTCAAGTTCAGAACCTTTAGATTCGAAGATTTTGAAGACAGTGGCCATCCATGCAAAAATAGCGCGAATACAGAAGAGGGTTTAGGACGTTAAGGGATTAAAGTTTAAGAATCCTAAACCAAGGGTCCCGCACAACCCACATTGACGTCGGAAGGTTGGCTTGCCAGTTCCCTTATGGGGTGTACAATAGGGTTCCCGCATAAGATAATAGGGTCCTGAGTCCTGGCGGGAGCCTTCAAAGGGTGCTATAGTAAGGTGCCTGCGGGTCCCTTTTAAGGGGTACTATCACCCTATACCCTATACCCTAAACCTTCCTTTAAGGGTCTCTTTGAGGGGTGCTATAGTCGGCATCCGTCGGGGCTCCTTGATGAAAGGTGGGATCCTGAAGGTCCCTTTATGGGGGAGCTGCAAACAAAGCACGCAGGCCGGTTGAGGGTTTAAGGAGTTTCGGGTTTAGGGTTTATAGGGTTTAGGGAGATTCGGGTTTAGGGTTTAGGGAGTTTCGAGTTTAGGGAGTTTCGGGTTTGGGGTTCAGGTTAAAGGTTTGCCTAAACTACGCTGACGCTTGTTTTGTGAGCTTCGAAGACGCCACTCCCAAACACAGTCCTTGTCATAGACGAACTCTGAGATGCTCGTATAGCACCTCAAGGAGTAAACCCTAAACTCCGTAAACTTTAACCCCTGGCCCATGCTGCTTAGAACATGCATTCGTGGTGATTGGCTTACAGTACACGTATCGTGGGACTGCAAGGTTGGTGGTAGTGCCGAATTACTCAGACCCGCACACTATACTTCGTGATTTTTATGGGCTCTTCACGGTTTACGGACGGTCTCAGGAACATAAAACTGGGGATCAGGAGACGATAGCTGCTGCTACTACCACTATTATTCCGATGTTACTACTACTACTACTACTACTACTACTACTACTACTACTCTACTACTACTACTACTACTACTACTACTACTACTACTACTACTACTACTTCTAATAATAATAATACTATTACCGCGACTATGTAGCCGCTTGGCCTCCTGCGTGTGATTGCTGCTCAACCCGAAAAACGAAAAGGATCCTGACATGGTCCGTCCGAGCCGGGTGTGGGGTTTAGGGTTACCTGTTTGTGTCGGGGGTTCAGGGTTTAGGGTTTAGGGGTTTGAGGTTTCCGAGCTTCCTGGCTTCCTCGGACCTTTGTGTCAAGAACCGAGCAAGGGGCAAGCGGGCAAAGAAGCGAGGGCACCTCACAGCAGGGACATCCTTCTGCCGCAGGAAGCGCCACCAGCTTCGGACGACCGCTTCCGGCTCGCCTGGGTCGATGTTGAAAGCTTGGGAGTTTCGGGTTGAAGGGCTTAACGTTTAGGGTTGAAGGTTGAAGGGCAGGAGGGTTCAGGGTTCAGGGTCGGCTGAGGGTATGGGGGGGGAGGGCATGGGGAAACACAAACTACAAAAAAGTTCTCGAAGATTGGCCACGTCGCGGATGCTGCAAATGTACTTGGCCTCGGGCCGGTGGATGTTTCAAGGGTTCAGAAGATATGTATATGTAATTATATGTATGTATATATATATATATATATTTTGTGTATACATGTATATGTGATGCAGGGCTGCCACACCCCCCTCCTCGCACCCCATGGTATCCTCCCCTATATATATTATAATGTGTATATATATAATATAAAGGGCTCGGCAAGACAACTAAGATATCAGCAACAGGTAAGTAAGATACCGATTTGGGATGGTTTGGGCCTTTATCTAAACCCTGGATCTGCGGCTCCCGCACACACACACACACAGACATACACACCTGTTTTGCACTCAAACACGTCGGATGTGTCTCGGATCTTTCATCGTGATATCTACACAGCAAGCAGTCTCCGTCTTGCAGTCCTGTCAGGTCTGAGGGAGTGCATTGATTCTGTAGGACTAAGGACTGCAAGACTGCAAGACTGTGCATTGAATTACCTCATAAGATCGAGCCAGTCTGCATAAGCGCGGACTCGCGACTTGAAATGCCAAAACTTCCTTTCCCATTCACACTTGGAGCACTGTTGAAAGCGTCTTGGTGTCACTGGAGGATCACCGGCAGGAACAGATTGATGCTCTCTGTCCATCTCAAGGAGCTTGGCCCGCGCATACTGCTCGCTCTTCATCCAGAGCACGATCTGCCACTTTTGTTTACATATCTTTCACATTCCATCAGTCAGGACCTTCAGGATTTTAGGGCCTTGGGGCTTTAGAGCTTTAGGGGATTGAGGAGGGTTCATTAGGTTTTATAGCTGCATATTTATTATATGGGTACACACGACAGTGAGATGTCTTCTTCGAGATGAATATGTTGTGTTAGTGATGGTGATGGTACAAACAATCCTGATGATGATGATGATGATGATGACACGATGCTGTAGGACGGACGACTGCACGACTGTGCATTGAATTACTTCATAAAATCAATCTTAATGTGCACAGCTACGCGTCGTGACGTGACTTGCTTGTACTACGTGGTTTACTTACTCCATGGGTGCGACAACATGCAACAACAAATGCCCAGGCTTTCGTGGCCATCGCAGCAACTATAGGATTTAAATTCGTCCTTATATTCAACCAAAAACCTGCAATCCCTAAACCCGAATGAAAAAAGTATCTTAATAGGCTTTTGCTGATATCTCAGTTGTGTTGCCGACCCCTTTATAATATATATATATGTATATATATATATATACCTATATATCTATATGTGAACTCATATATATATATATATATATTAGATGCGTGTTCTAACGACTTAAGACTCCTAGGTTCGTGCCCTGCATGGGGACGAGCAGCTTGCAGCAACCACGGGGACCGTAATCGAGTGAGAACCCAAAACTCCCACGGTTCAGGGCTTGGGGTCTTAGGGTTTGGGGTTTAGGGTCTTAGGGTTTAGGGTCTTAGGGTTTAGGGATTAGGGTTCTGCTGGCTGACACGGTTTAGGGTTTAGGGTCTTAGGTTTTAAGGTTTAGGGTCCCACTGGCTGCCACGGTTTAGTGTTCAGGGTCTTGCGGTTCAAGGTTTAGGGTTCTACTGGCTGCCACGATTTAGGTTTAGGGTCTTAGGGTTTAGGGTTCTATACTGGCTGCCGCCCTTCACCACAGGCGCTGGCAGTATCACCACGGCCATTTGAAATTTGTACTGTGTCTGCACTGCCGCAAGAATCTTTAGAACCGCTATCTCCGCCAAAGCGACGTCAACGACGAGACGACGACGACTGCTTGTAGTGCTACCGTGACTACGACTATGCTGCAAGGATGCTGCTCATCCATAAACCCTACACCCTACACCCTAAACCCTAAACCTTAAACCCTACAAACCCGAAACCGTATAAACCCTGAACCATTAAACTCTAAACCCCAAACCCTAAACCCTATAAGCCCTATACCCTTGAACCCTAAACCCTATAAGCCCTATACCCTTGAACCCTAAACCCAAACCCCACTATCTGGCTGCATCACGTCTATGTCGCCCAAAGTGCGGACCGCTCCCTAATCTCCGAAAGCCCTAAAGGCCCAAACCAAAGCCCATCTCCCTTTCAGGCTTGTTGGAACCATCATCAATACAAAGCCCTAGAAAGTACCCTAAACACTAAAAGCCCTAAACACTAAAACCATAAACTCTCTAATTCCCCTGCCACCCCTAAAAGCCCTAGAAAGTACCCTAAACGCTAAAAGCCCTAAACACTAAAACCCTAAAGCCTCTCATTCCCCTGCCACCCCGAAGTTTGAACCCGGAGGACTTCGAATTTGAGACTGTGCGAGTGCGGGGGCGCTTCCGGGGAAACGTCGTACAACCCAGGCTCTGCAACTCTTCACCATGAATAAATGTCGGGCAATTACGGTCTGGGGTTTAGGGGTTCAGGGTTCGGGGTTTAGTGGTTTGGGGTTTCTGGTTTAGGGTTTAGGGTTTAGGGCCTACGCCCTAAACCCTAAACCCTAAACCCCTAAACACTGAAAGGCAGAAGTCTGGCCCCAAACCCCGGTAAGACCGGGTTCCCCTCGCACCCTGGTAGCTCCTCCTCAATACAGGAGCCCCGTGTCGTATCAGTTTGATGGGGAAAGCACAAGCAATCGTGTTAGAAAGGCCACTAAGTATACTTATAATAAGGAACCCCCCCAAATACTATAGGTCATTAATAAGGCTTCTATAGTACTGGACACCAGATGCCCGAAATCCTAACTTTCAAGAACCCCACGAGAGAACCCTGAAAGACGCCCTTGAAGGACAAAGGAACCCCTAACGGAAACCTAAAGGATCCCTTAAAGAAGCCTTTGTAAGGGTACCCCAAAGATGTCTGAAAAGCTCCGTCGCTTCGAACTAAACCACAAAATTTGGACGTGCAAGCAGGTGCAGGGTTTAGGGTTTTTGCGTGTGCGGGTTTAGGTGTAAGGGTTTAGGGATTTAGGGCTTTGGGGGTTTGGGGTTTACGGTCTAAACCGAACACCCTCAATCCAAAGCATCCCGTAAGCCGTCATAAACGTCCACGTACAGGAATTTAAGACCTAAACCTTGACCCTGCCTTAAACTACATTAGCCTAACGACCTACTGAATTACAGGGATCCTTTGAAACAGAATGCTGTGGCATGTTCATACCAAACCCTACACCCGCATACCTACACGTCACTACATGTCTACCTAAAACCGAAACCGTGCCCAGTGGCGCCGCGATTCAGCGATGCCAGTCCTCAAACAAAGCTACACCGGAACAAAATAGACGAAACACACCCCAAGGGTTTAGGGCGAACGGTTCCCTTCAAAGGTTTAGGGCTCAAGGTTCCCGTTCTTGGTTTAGGCTTATCGTGTTCCTTTCAGGATCCGCAACGCATGTTGTTTGGACTTTATAGGTCTCTTTTTAAGTGCTCCTTTGAAGGCTTCCATACCGTTTTGTACAGGGCTTCTACGTTAAGGGTCCTGGTGGAATCCTCAAAACGAGGGGGTCTCCAGTTTCACTCCTATTATTCCAGGCTGATGCCCTAAAAGGTTTAGGGTTTGATAAGGGGTTTAGGGCTTAGGGTTTAGATAGGGTTTAGGGTTTAGGGTTTAATTAGGGGTTTGGGGTTTGGGGTTTAGATAGGGTTTAGGGTTTAGGGTTTAATTAGGGGTTTAGGGCTTGGGGTTCCGGCAGAGTGTAGGGCTTAGTCTAGGGTTTAGGACCCTGCATATTATCTGCGTTCCATACATCCTAAACCAGATACCACGAAGTTTGGCGTTCAGATTGTAGGGCACCACATGCCCGATCATGAAGCCTCAACCTCAAGCCCTAATGAAGACGCCTTAATGAATACCGACACTGGTCTGTACTGTGCTAAGTATACTGCAAACAACACATCCCAAGCCCTGTTTTTGCATTAAGCCCCAAAACATGCAAAGATGCTTGTTCCACGTCTGGTTTCAACAACATTCCTCAAGCTACCACGACCATAATCTACCATTTGGCACGTTTGGGACTACAATTGCAGCTCGGCATCAAAACTAGAACAGCTAACCGTCCACCCTGAACCCTAAACCTCAAAAAGTAGGCATCCGGTTTAGGGGAAAAGGGTTTGGGAAACCCTAAACCCTAAACCCCTAAACCCTAAGCCCTAAACCCCTAAACCCTAAACCCTAAACTGGGAAACCCTAAACCCTAAACCCTAAACCGCCACGGAGGGGCGTAGATGCGACTTGAAGAGCCGCGGACGCGCCACTTGCTCAGCCTCCAGGCTCTGACCCAGGTCCTGACCCGAAGCTGGGGTTCCTTTAAGGGGACCCTAAACCCTAAGCCCTAAACCCTAAACCCTAAAGCCTTAAACCTTAAAGCCTTAAGCCCTAAATCCTAAATCCTAAACCCTAAACCCTAAACCCTAAACCTTAAAAGGACCCCTACCATGGTACCCTTTAAGGGGCCCTTAGGATCCTTTTCAAATGATAGTACGCCTAAAGAAAGCACCCTTATAGGATCCCCATTGTAGTACGGCCGAAAGGTTCCTTAAGGAACCCTGTTATAGTACCGGTTTAGGGTTTAGGGTTTAGGGTTTAGGGTTTAGGGTTTAGGGTTTAGGGTTTAGGGGTTTAGGGTTTAGGGTTTAGGATCCCTGTTAAAATGCCCTTTAAAGGGACCCAAATGTCCGTAGACGTTATGGTTCCTGTAAGGGCTCCTACCAAGGCTTTGAATGGTGCTCAAGCTTAACCCGAGGCTTCTCGACCTTACGCCGAAACACGGCTAAAAACCCTACAAAAGTTCTTTGCACTGAAATGACTGTCGGGCTCTGAATTACATGTAGAACAGGCTCACATTCTCAGACACATACATGCAGACACACACACACACACATGCGCACAGACACACCCGCACACACACACGCACACACGCATGCACACACACACACACACAAACACTTCCCATCAATCAAAACAACACGATAGACAGCACACCACACCAAAAGAACTAACAACGTACAGAAGACAAACACAAAATTAAATTACATGCATAGTAAACAATGCGGAAAAGCCACCCGAAAGTCTAAACTCTAAGCCCGAAGCTGAAAACAAACAAAGACCCAACAGATAGGGCTGGGCTGAGGTCAAGGGTCCCAGGCCATCTGATCCCATGGTGCCACTTGGTAGATGTCCTGCGCTACAGCGGGACTCCCAAACCAGTGGTTTAGGCTTGTTATTGATGGTTTAGGGGTTTAGGGTTTAGGGGTTGAGGGGTTTTGGATTTCCGTGGAAGGTTTACCCTAAACACTATGTACCCATACATCAAGGAATATACGTTACCCAAGCCCACAACCTAGTAGGCCATGTATCTGGGTTCCCGGGTTTAATTTAAGGCCTTTCCCGAAGAACCCAAAATACCAAGGCAGACGGGATTCCTCGGAAACCTGGTAGTTAATCAGGCATGTAAGGAGTTTTGGATTAAACCCTAAACCCTACCCACTCCGATTCCACAGCAGAAGTTAAGTATATCTGGACCCTCAACCCCAAACCCCGTGAACCCTATAAACCCTAAACCTTAAACCCTGAACCCTAAACCCTAAACCCTAAACCCTAAACCCTAAACCCTAAACCCTAAACCTTAAACCCTGAACCCTAAACCCTGCACCCCAAACATCCCTTCACTGAGCCTAGATTTAGATCTTAAGCCCCCCAAACCGGGCCCGAGACATCGTATTTTCCCGGAAGGCCCTCTTGGTAACAGAAGGTCTACACTAAACCCCTCAACCCTAAACTCTACAAACCCTATAAACCCTTAACCTCAGACCCTGAACCCTAAACCCATAAAACCCTCTTGGTAACAGAAGGTCTGAAGGTTTCAGGCCGGATAAGCCTTCGAGGGTCTTTGGAGCTGTAGCGTTTCAGCTGAGGCTGTAGGGTTTTGGAGTTAGTGTTGTTTGGGGTTTAGGGTGTAGGGGTTTAGGGCTTAGGGTTTAGGGGTTTTAGGGATTAGGGTTTAGGGTTTCGGGGTTTAGTGTTTACGGTTGAGGGTTTAGGGTTTAGGGGAAACCTAGCAGTAATAAATACGGGTAATTATTTGGGCTTTTATATCAACTGTAATCCTAAACGGCCTTTTCCACACTCACCAAGAGCCTGATTTACCACCTACTTCACATGTTTTTGTTTGCAGGGCTACCCAGTGCCTCGCAGACACAGGGATTAGCGGCGCTGCTTAGGGATTGGCGCTTACTTTCGAACCACACCCGAGTTTGGTCGCTCAGTACCGAAGATGATCATGCCTTTGCAGTTCTACTTATAGTCTCCATTGTAGTTCCTTTTTGGTGATGCGTTATAAACTCCTTAATATATAACCCTAAGGGTCCAAATATACTACTATTATGGAATTAGGTCCCCAAAACCATAATAAGAATGGTCTTTTGGGACCTAATTCCATAATGCTAGTATATGTGGACCCTCTGGGTAATTGGTTAAACCCAAAAAAAGGAACTACAATGGAGACTACACGTAGCACAATAAGCCCTAAACCCCGAGTAGAGGATCCCCACTGTCCTGCGGACTTTTTTCATACACAAATAGCTCAGAGTAGGTACTGGTACTAGATGTGTACCGGGAGCCCACACCAAAGAGTGGGGATATCCCATAAGTCGCCTGGGTAAGAGCTTAAAAAAGTCGGGATATCCCGCCCAGAAACTTCAAGTTGGGCTGCTTTCTTGGCTCCTGCTCCCTAAATCCATGTTCTTGGCGTAATGCTTAGGCTTGCTTGGACCCTAAGCCTAAAGCCCAAAACAAAATCCGTAAACCCTACACTGGCCCTTAACCCTACAACCCTCTCAACCCTAAAGCCCCAAGCCGTACATCCTGAACCTGAGCGTAATAAGTTGTTAATAGGATTCTGCTGGGGTTTGTACGGTCTCAAACCCTAAATCCTAAACCCCTTAACCCCTAAACCCTAAACGACCTCGAAATCTGTGTGTAGGCCCTGGGTGCGAATGGCGTGACAGAGCATCTGCAGCAGCGTGGTTCCTTGCTTTGTGCGCTTCACCTACGGGTTTAGGGTTTAGGGTCAATGACCTTACAGGGATTTGTAGTACAAGGGTCTGGGACACTGCGTTTGAGGGCTATTTGCTCCTTAATGTCATGAAGGAGTTTCGGCAAAGGCCCCAAATCCTAATCAACCACCCCAAGCTTGCTTGTCTTAGGTTCTAAGACATAAGTGCCCACATTTTACTTATAACTTAATCAGTATCCAAGGGGAACTAAAGGTTAATCTCTGGGATGATATTGGGATAATACTGTGATTACTGTACACCAAAAAAGTCAAAGACCTAATCTACTACTAAGTTTATTGGTCTCCGGGGCTATGTCGCTCATCTGCCTTTATCGCCGCAATCTCATTTTACAAGCCCGCAAAACATCGAAATCCCTGCCGAGTTCACAGCAGGGCTTCTGCACTAGGAACTATCTTCGCGGCTTTTCGTAGCACTGTAAGTCTTTCGTAGTGCAGATGTATCACTGTAAGTCTTTCGTAAAATGCAGATGTAACATTGTAAGTCTTTCGTAAAATGCAGATGTAACATTGTAAGTCTTTCGTAAAATGCAGATGTAATCTTGGAACAGCAGCGGCATGAGTTTCTTGGTTGAGCAGCAAGACCACACCACCTCATGGACAGCTCCCACCCCAAAAAACTGCACCGGACTCCACGATGCCGTTTAGGGTTTAAGGGTTCAGGGGCAAAACGCTAAACCTTAATATAGAAGCCTGAATAGTTACCACTACTACTGTTAGGGTTCCTTATTAGAACAATAATATAAAGGAGCCCAAAACCCTACTCTGCTTATAAAGGCCCCAACATTAAACTCTGAACCAACATTCCGGGCTTCCTCTCTCCTTCGGAGCCTTCGGGGCAACGACCTCGAAACAGACGGGTTGAGGCCCAGACAAGAGCCTAATGTAGGGGCCTTAATGATTAGAACAAGGCTTTGGGGCCCATCATACTATACTTGGGTTTAAATAGCGACCCGGGGGGCCAATTAAAAAATTATTTATATTTTAAGGGTTTTATAGTACTTGCAACTGCAGGACTCTTGCATCACATGACAGTGATTAGCAACACGCACCTTTTAGGACTGCATGGCTCTTGCTTCAAGTCACATGACAGTGATTAGCAACACGCACCTTTTGGACTGCAT